GAGAGAGAGAGAGAGAGAGAGAGAGAGAGAGAGAGAGAGAGAAAGAGAAAGAGAGAGAGAGAGAGAGAGAGAGTGTGTGTGTTTAGTTGCATGGTATTTTATTTTAGCGTTTCCCTTATATTTTATAAATTAATAAAAATTAAAAAAGAAAATTAAAAGAGCAAATTCATCATTTTGAGTACTTTCAAAAAGTATTGGATCAAATCCACAATAAATTTCTTATTTTTGACGAGTGGTACAAATCCAAAACTTTTTAGACTAAAATGATAATTTTCGACAAATCACTAATTTTGCAATTTTATCGTATTCTTTTAAGCACGAAGAACATTCTTAGGTTATATTGAATGCTTGGTAAAACACACGCGCAATCTGAGTTGGCACCACGATTCATGCGCGGCTTTCTCTCAAACACCACCCCTAATATGCTTAAGTGAGACTCTTCGTAGCTAGCTTCACGATTACTCACAATCTCTCATTTTTTCCTCTCTCTGTCTCACTCTACTTCTTCCATCTATCTTCCTTTTCCGATGGTAAGTATATCATCCCTCTTCCACTAGTGAGATGTTAATGGAGGTGAGGTGGGGTGATGCCATTTCCTTTGAGTAAGAATTTCCTTCGAGTAAAAATCACAAAGCCACTAGTAAGAATCACAAAACCACTACATATAGCCTTAAAATTTAGTCACTAATATATTTAAAACAAAAAAAAACAAAAAAAAAAAAAAAAAAAGAAAGAAAGAAAAGAAGAAATGGTACAAGCTCATCCCACAGGCGGCCCACGTCATTTTTTTTTTCATTTTTCCATTTTGTAATGTATCCATTCCCACGTGTCCACCATTTGATGGTGGAATACAAATAAGTTTTATAATTAAACTTAACTATCTAAATATTTATATTTTATCGTCGTTTAAAGGTAAATCCAAAATTTAATTATATATTTTTTCTACAAAATAAGATTAATATTAATTCAATAAGTTATATTATTTTTATGTAAATTCTAAGTTAGGTTCGATTGCTAAAAAGTGATAAAATTTGATATGGATGGTTTGTTTATTCAAAAAGAAAAAGATAATATTTTTTTAATCAATATTTAAGTTTGGTTGAAATGTTGATAGGAGTAGTCGAGGTTATGGGTTAACGGAAAGTGGTAATTTTATACAAGATTGGAAGGAGTCGAGCGGGTTTTGAGGTCCCGCAGCAGGTTCTTCAAGCCGTTGTTCCTTTCACTTTTCTTTCTTCTCTGCTTGTATATATTAATATTTGTACCAAAAAGTTTGGGATGAAAGGTTTTATTTCCAAATCTTTTGGAAGGGTTGGAACTTGGAACTAGAGAGATATGGAAAAATCTATGTAGGGGCCCTATCTGGCCTCATGAATGGGGAGGTTCATTCCCTCTGCCCTAAAAACGACCCTATATATTTGCCTCCAAAGTCCAATACATTGATGGTATGGATAAACTGAGCCATTCTACCTTTAACATCTTTCTCATAAATGCGATGATATCCCTTCTCACCTTCACAATATATCATCATCAAACAAATCTCCGTAGATTTCTTTTTAAAACATTGGGTCGAGAACTCCAAAACATTAATGGAGTCTGTGGTATCTAGTCTAGAAGGAACCCTCTTGAAAAACAATGATCCTTTCTCCTATTTCATGCTAGTTGCTTATGAAGCCTCCGGTTTAATCCGTTTCACATTTCTGCTACTACTTTGGCCTGTAATCCGACTCCTCGATGTTTGTGGGAAGGGTGACGTTGGTGTAAAGCTGGCCATTTTTGTAGCCACAGCCGGCGTTCCCATTTCGGAAATTGAATCGGTGGCGAGGGCAGTTCTGCCCAAGTTTTATCTTGATGATCTTGATTTAGATGCATGGAGGGTGTTTAACTCCGGTGAGAGAAGGGTGGTCGTGACTAAGATGCCCAGGGTTATGGTGGGGCATTTTGTCAGGGAGCATCTCCGAGCTGATGATGTTGTTGGGAGTGAACTTCGGGTTACCCGGTTTCGGTTAGCCACGGGCTTAGTCCAGGTGGGTGATTTTGATGCCTCTATAGGTGATCGTATTGCAGCCATGTTTGAAGATAAACAACCTAGCTTAGGGCTAGGAAGATGCCATTATGATTCTTCCTTTTTATCTCTATGCAAGGTAAGAAATTTACATCCTTTTTTCATATATAACATAATCCTGTGTGCATGAAAGCTTACTAAAATTCATATATGCAACAGGAACAAGTGAGTGCGCCTTATCTGAACAAAAACCAGAAACATATAGCGGATCAAGAAATCCTACCGGAGCCGGTGATCTTCCATGACGGGCGTCTTGTCCAGAGGCCGACTCCCTCCGTAGCTCTTTCGATCCTCCTTTGGATCCCATTCGGTATCATAATCGCAATCGTTCGTTTGATCACCGGCAACGTTGTGCCACCGTGGTTGGCTCGTAACGTGACATCAATCTTCGTCTGGAGGCTCGTTGTTAGAGGGATTCCACCATCGCCACCTTCCCAGGGGTCGAGCACTGGTGTGCTATTCGTATGCACCCACCGAAGCCTAATGGACCCCGTAGTGTTATCGACAGTTCTCCAACGCAAGATCCCTGCGGTCACCTACTCGTTATCAAGATTATCTGAGTTCTTGTCTCCGATTCCAACCGTTCGTTTGACCCGCAACCGACAAGTGGACGCTGAACGGATAAAAAAAGAATTATCCGAAGGTGATTTGGTGATTTGCCCCGAAGGTACAACTTGCAGAGAACCCATTCTGCTCCGATTTAGTGCACTTTTCGCAGAACTAACAGATCGAATTGTGCCTGTTGCAATGAATTGTCGAGTCGGGTTTTTCCATGCAACCACTGCTAGGGGTTGGAAAGGGTTAGACCCAATTTTTTTCTTCATGAACCCAAATCCCATCTATGAGGTGACGTTCATGAACCAGTTGCCGGTAGAGGCAACATGTTCGTCGGGAAAAAGCCCTGAAGATGTCGCAAATTACGTGCAGAGAATCTTGGCCGCGAGTTTAGGGTTTGAGTGCACAAATTTTACCAGGAAAGACAAGTACAAAATTCTTGCAGGGAGTGATGGAACAATAGATCAGCCTAAGAAAAACGGTCTGAATATAAATAAAGTGGTGGCATAAATATATACATATTTTACTTATATAAATAAAATCGTGGCACAAATATTTACATTTCACTTATATAAATAGTTAATTTTGATCTGTTTTTCTTGGTTTTTTTAGCTGTTATATTTTTCTTAACGTATTAAATTATAATTTAATGGATAAAATTCAATCATAAAAAAATTTTACATTGGGCATATGATAATTAAATCTAGCTCTGTCGAAAATACCCGTTACCCGAATTATCCGCCCGATTTTTTCGGGTATTTGGGTAACCCGATTTTTTTTCAAGTCGGGTAACGATAAGTTTTTTGGGTTTCGGGTATACCCGATTACTGAAAATATATTTATCAGTTTTATTTTTCTTCTCTGCAAGCTTCTTTTCTTTTTTATCAATTTCATTTCTATATTTAGCTTATTCCTTTTCTTTTTTGCATGATTCATTCTCATAACCACCCAATTCATTATAGCTTCTTGAAGTCTATTAATTTCAACTTGAATCTCCTGATTGGCCTTCTCAATATCGTTTTCTATGTTAAATAACTACGTTTTGGATCATATGTTGCATGTCTATAAAATTAAATTATGTAATGAAGGGTTTTGGATCAAAATTATGGTGTATATACATGGAAGAATAACAAGTCGTCCAAATGACATATTTCTTTCCTCGTTATTTCCAAATCAAATGAGAACAATGTTTCTTTTTCACCTCAAAGGTTATTAGACATACAAATGAGCTCCCTATTTTTTTCTTTAATGAAATTTTCACATATTATGTTTCCAAATCTCCTATGATGAACTTTTTTTAATAACTCGTTTATTTGTTTTCATTGTCACAAATAATTATTTATATAGATTTGTGATCAAACTTCATATTTATATTAATTTTTTAACCTTTCTCATTCATATCATTTTCCCTTTATTATTCTCATTATATTTGATTAAATTGTTAAACGAATACTTGATATCTCAAATATTATTGACTAAAAAATCTCAACGTTTAAAGTTTGAGCACGACATATTTATTTTATCAAATTTATTTTTAGACGACAATAAAAAAAAAGGGTAATACCCGAATTACCCAAACCCGACCCACTACCCGAATTAGCTGAATTTAATTTGGGTCGGGTAACGGGTAATTTTTTTAACATGAAAAACCCGAATTATCCGACCTGAATTACCCGAATCCGAAAAATTTACCTGATCAACACCTCTAATTAAATATCAAGTTTAATGGCAATCGAAGAAAAAAAAGCATTTAAAGTATAAAATATATGTTTTATCTAACTTTTATATTGAATATGTATAATTCAATGTATTGTAAATACCACATTTGTGTGAAAAGTAATTAATACGATGAGTCAAGTTAAATTTTAGAGTTTTATGAGACATGAGATCATGCTAATCTTTTGAAACATGAAGTAAAAAAACAATATATATATATAT